GTGTGACAGTTAGTAAGGGTATATGGACCACTGACCACACATGGTATATAAGGACATAATCAATCATAATTTTAAATTATCTATATATGCAAATATATTCCCTTGCCATGCAGTTTAACCAGACAAGTCCTTGCCATGCATGCAACTTCAAATTAACACAACAAAAAGCTCAAAATAACAATCAACTTAAGTAACACAAAATACACATCACATAAACCAACATAGTTTCATAGAAACTAGCATAGTTAATAGCAGTTTCATAAAAACAGCAACAATACACCAAAACACATCATTTCACACTACATACCATGTTCATATCACATAAACCAACACTTAAAGTTATTCTAGAGTAACAGGTTTAGCTTCTGAATTCCCAGGTGCATCTGCACCACCAACTTTCTTGTCCACTTTCAACTTGATAATCCTTTCAGATTTCTTCCTCCTAATTTTCTTCAACAGGGTTGCAAGTGGTGTTTCTCTAGCATCCTGTTCTTGCACATGAACCTGACTAGGTTCTCCATTTGCTGATGCATCAAACTCCAAAAGGAGTGAGTTCCACCTCATCATAGTCTTGTTGCACATGCACCTCATTGACTGCTTCTCCACCATCATTTACTGCTCCTCCATCATTGACTGCATTAGCTTGATTACCTTCATCATCCTTATTGAGCGCTTCAGCTACACCCTGATTGACCAACATGAAACATTATTAGAAAGTTAAAAAGAAATTGTAAAGATTAACCATTTAAATACTTATGTACCTGTTTTGTTTTTTCTATTAGCTTTGGTTTTAGGAGGCCTTGTTAAAGTACAAGCTCTTTTGTTGTGTCCTTCAATCTTACAAAGGCTACATTTTTGTTTTTTCCCAGCCTTGGATACCTTTACCTGCTCCTTACCTTTGTTTTGTGTTTGGGTAGTTGTCTTTGATTTTTTACTTGACTGGTTTGGGGTTTCTGTTGCATCCCTTTTCCTTTTAGTTGCAGGTCTCCCAGGCATAGTTCTACGAACAGGAGGTAAAGGTGGGGTGTAATCAGTTGCAGGCCACAAATTACTTCCATTCATAGGTGCTAACCTAAACTTGTATGCCTTCATGTAAGTGATGCTACTAAACATTTTGTCCACATATGACTCTACATCCCTATTCATAAAACTAATAGCTGCAACAGAATGGACACAACCGATTCCATTAAGCTGCCAAAGCCTGCATGAGCAAGTTCTTTCCTCAAGATCCACTTCATAAGCATCTGTAGTTCCTCTTACTTCAAATTGATTTAGACCACTAGGTAAGACTTGGTAATGTCTTAGACCCTTCTTAATGTCATTCACTATTTCTCTAATTGTTGGACAAATTTGGTTGCCCCATCCTAGACCCTTGCATTTCTTCTTGAACACCCTCTCCATCATATACATCCTCAACTCCTCTAGCATGGTGATAATTGGTTTCTTCCTAGCATCAACAATCACAGCATTAAAACTTTCTGACATTCCATTCTCCACAGCATCACAACATCTTCCTGGTTGGAAGTAGGCCCTTGACCATGTTTTGGGGTCTTTGTCCATCAGATACTGATGAGCACTTGGGTCTAGCACTTCAAGCTCTTTCATGGCAACCTTAAAATCTACCTCTGTTGTTGCTTTACATGCCTTCCAGAATATGCTTTCACATTGGGCACCACTATACCTTTTCCTAAGGTTTTGGCTAATATGCTTGGCACACTGCCTATGCTCTACATATGGAAGGAGTTCTTTCACAGCCTCAATCAAACCCTGTTAACAAATTCTAAATATAGTGAATAAGAATGCAAATAGATAGGAAAATTAATTACAAACAATTAAATTACCTTGTGTTGATCAGATATTACATTGTATCCATAGCCCAAATTAAGTCTCAAGTCATCAATGAGTAAATCCAAAAACCACCTCCAATTTTCCTTATTATCCACACATACTACTGCCCATGCAATAGGATAAATCCCATTGTTTGCATCCCTTCCAACAGCACATAATAACTCCCCTTTACAGATCCTTTTAAGGAAACAACCATCTAAACCTATTATCTTCCTGCATCCCTCCTTCCACCCCTTTTTCAATGCATCAAAGCAAACATAGAACTTACTAAAGTAGTTCTTCCCATCTGGCATATGATTTACATCAAGCTTCACAGTGCTACCTGGATTTGATCTCCTAATCTCTTCTGCATACGACTATAACTTTGCATAATGTTCAACTAGGGTACCATCTATTAGTTGGAGTGCATATTTCTTAGCTCTCCTGCATTGACCAACACTAACATGAATGCCAAACTTCTGTGACACAGCTGTTCTTAGCTTTCTAACACTCATCTTTTGTCTAAGTAAGAACTCTCTTGTATAATGACTCCCTATCCAAGCATAAGTGACCATGGACCCTAACTTGTAGTTCCTTGCACATTTGTGGACTGGCTTTAAAGACTTAATTTGGAAGCTTGATTCATCACTCATCCAAGATGCCCACAACCTGAATGAGCACTCACCCTTGCAACACTTAACCAACAATCTTTTCCTATCATTTTTCTCAAAGCAAAGTTAGTACCCATTCGCAATAGCATAGTTGCATAACATCGATTTTAATTGAGATGGATCTTTGAACCTCATACCAAGTATTGGGATTTGCTTTTTCCATGGAACTAACTCATTAAAAATGGAATGTTGTTGAGTTACATTGGCATCCTCTTCATTCCCATCATGATCATCTATGTTGTCATCACTTCCCTCTTCCTCTTCGCCACATAATCTATTTAGAAATTCATCACCCTTTGTCCTATTCATAGTGACTATGTCCTCATTAAAGTCCACATCCACATTTGTTAGGTTATCAATTTCGTCCTCATTCTCACCACCATCAATGCAAGAATCATCTCCATCCTCCTCTTCTATTTCAGAACCAAACCAATCTTCTATTCCTTGACCATCATGGTCCACATACATACAAATTTTACCATCTGTCCCATATGCTTGAAAAATGAAACCACCATAGTGTTCATCATTAGCGATAGCAGTTATCCCAGATATTAAGGGCTTACCTGGTTCACAATAGTATAACTTCTTTATACTTTCTTGCATGAACCGTTCGAGAAAGGTGATACATTCACCGTATGTCATTCCAGAAAAATCGTGATCATTGAAAGTGAAGTTGATACCATGGTTATACGAGAAAGGATTTTTAAGAAAAACACCTTTGAAGTTCAGCTCCACTATAGGGTGGAGTCCATCAGGGTTTGGCGCCGAGCTAGACATTGTGGGTTGGTTGACTGCTCACTGACTTCGATCGGAGAAAACGACTTCGAACCCTAGGTTTAGTGTTTCGTATTCACTGTAAGATGAGAAAAAGAAAGAACGAAGGAGTGTTCTAGCTAAATAAATGTGTTTCTTTTGACCTCTAAATCCTACATGGATAAAATAAATGAATTATATTATGTAAACTTATTCCACGTAAGCAATATCACCGGTTGTTCCGTTTACCGGGTGCATAAGGGGGTAATTAGCCGGTAGTTACTAACATTAAGGATCAATTGAGCACAAAAAAACTTTAGTGATTAAATGTGCAAATTGACCAAACATTGATGTGCTACAGTGTCAAAAACCCTTTTTTAACATTAGATATGTAATTATGACTGACTAATCGTTATATGTTCTTCATATGAAAGTGTTTTTCCATTTTACTACGACAAGAATTAGATATGACTTTTACGAAAATATATATTATATGTGATTTGTTTAACGTATATATTCACTTATGTATGTTATAAAATTAAAAATAAATATCTTTATGTTTAATAATTGAAAGAGATTAGTAAGATGAATCAAAACCAATTATTTGTATGAGACATATAATAATAATAATAATAATAATAATAATAAAGACATATATATTAAAACGAACGGAGGTGTCGAAATTAAGTAAAAGGTAAATTTTGAGATAAATACTAAAAAAAAAGGGAAAAAAAATGAAAATATATTTTAGGGTTTAGGTCATTTTTGATCACTTAACTTTTAACTTTGTGTTCATTTGGTCACTTAACTCATTTTATGTTTTAAAATGTCACCGAACTTTTGGCTTTGTGCTCGTTTAGTCATCTAACTTTTGGTTTGGTCACTTAACTTTTGAATTTGTGCTCATTTAGTCACCTAAAATTTGAAATTGTGCTCATTTAGTCACCTGACTTTTAAAATTGTGCTCATTTTTATAGCTTTATTTTAAAAGTTTAGTGACTAAATGAACATAATTTTAAAAGTTAGGTGACTAAATGAGCACAAATCCAAAAGTTAAGTGACCAAACAAAAAATAAGGTGACTAAATGAGCACAAAGTCAAAATTTAGATGATATTTTAAAACTTAAAATGAGTTAAATAACCAAATGAGCACAAAACCCAAAGTTAAATAGCTAAAAATGACCTAAACCCTATATATTATGTAAACGGATTGTTGTAAGATCTACTCTAATAAATGAAAGTTTTTTTTTGCTACATGTCACACTCTCATTCAATTTGCCAAATGTCATTTTTGTGGTTATTTTGAATTAATTTTTTTTCCACATATTATTTTATGGAATTTTCTATTTTAATAAATTCCACATAATACTTTAATGTAATAATTACAATAAATGTGGTAATAAATGAATATCAATTTTATTAATGGACTTACATTTTTATTTTAAAATTCCCAAATTAAAGCTCATTAGTTTATTTTGTTTATTTATTTAAATTTAAAAGATAAAAAAATCAATTTTAATCATTCATTATTTTTCTTATTTTCTTATAAATCTAAAGTTTTTAAATATTTAGACCTTTATATTTAATTTTCTTGATTAACGCATCTAATACATGAGTCTTACACCTAATTTGACCATGTATATATAAAACCAAATCAATCATTTGACTGTGCGTTCGAAAATATTATCGTGTGTAATTATAGAAAAACCCATATTTAATAGAGTTAACAAAAATGAACGATGGTCCAGGGACGATTTTTGCAACTTACTAAAAGGTTTATAGTGGTCCGCTGTTTCGAAGTTTTCATTCCCCCTCAAAGTCCCTCTTTGGCGCTCTCGAGTTTCAGCTCCGACGATGTCGGACACCGACGGTAAGACTGCAAAGGAACTAATTCGCGATGTTGGCAAACAACTCGCTGCCAAACAGAAATGTCCTCACAAAGATTCCCTTGTAAAATTGCTACGAGTAAGCATTCATCTGCAATTAGTTGCTTTTATGTTATAACTATTTTCCAAAGTTTTACATTTCTGTACCCACAAATGTACTATTCTGCCTTTTCCCCATGAAATATCGACACATTCCGAGCAGATAGTGCACTTGATTTCCGGTTCATAATCAGGGTTTCTTTAGTTCGTCCCGTAGGGAGGGTTTATGTTCTTAGTTGGTTGGTACATATATGATTGATATATCAGGTAGGCATATATTAATCTTGTTATCTGGTTGGTTTTATTGATACCCTAATACCCTATGTCCCAGTTAATTAGTTTTTTTTTAACTTTGTTCCAAGCAAAGATGGCTCATAAAGAGGTGCACCGCTGGAAGGGAACACATTACACAACATATGAATCAAAGGGGCGAGCCATGAATTTCAATCTGAACTGTTGGGGTTGGTTAAGAAAAAATGTGGCAGAAGTTGTTTGCTGGAGCATACTTACATTACATGTTAGCATTATTATAGCTATTATTGTAGTTTATGTACTGTCTTGGGACTATTATTGTCATTACATCTTTTATGTTAGGTATATAACTGTTTCTCCCTCTTCCATCTCATGGTAAATACATTGCCTTTATTCTCTTAAGCCTTTAGCTTCATCTAACAGTGTTCATCATCATCATCATCGGTTGCCAACTGATTCATCATTCATAACATGGTATCAAATCCGACATCTAGCACTACATTGCCCAGCATAAACATCATCATTTCATCAAGCCTATGTGTTAGGTGGGGTGCTGGAGTGTCAGATCGGCTAGATACAATCTTATAACCTCTTATATATGTTGGGGTCTCCCATCCAACCTCAAGGGTTCTTTTGGCTTTGGTTAACATGTTAACTTCCGTTCTATAGATACTCTCGTAAGGTTACATTACCTGTAGATAGCTATATAATGATTAGCAGATTGTAAGAAGCTGTGATATGAGTCCGTTGTAATAAGTGGTTCATGGTGGTTGGCATAGTCTTATTCTCTTATTATATATATATATATATATATATGTATGTACTATATAGAATGCTCTACATGTCTTGAGGGGTGACTGTCTTTGTAGTCAATGCTTAAAGTTTGATGTTAAGTTTGGTTGCATATCTTGGCTTTTGGCAGCAAGCTGCAAGTGCATTACCAAAGTTACAAGCACAATCACATTTGCTAAAGCCTGCCATAAAGCCCTTGAGTGATTCTCTACTGAAGCATGGCTTGTTGAAGCAAAAGGACAAAGATTTGAAGCTTTTGGTTGCCATCTGTGTATGTGAAATACTTCGGATACTCGCACCGAATCCTGGTTTTAGTGATGAAGACTTCAGGGTAAGGGCATGTTTAAGTGCTGGATGTCTGTCTGAATCTGAACAGAGACCATTTCTTTTTCATTAATGCTGATGTTTAAGCACTTATCTCAGGACATCTATCAACTCTTTTTGGGTATGTTTGCGGAGCTTCCTGATACCAAAAGCCCATATTTCTCGAAGAGGGTAGCACTATTGGAAACAATTGCAAGATACAATTTCTGTGTGCTAATGCTAGATACAGGATGTGAAGATCTAGTCCTGAAGATGTTCAGTATCTTTTTCAGTGTCATAAGGTACACTTCTTTCTTCCCTTTATGCAAGGAATATCTTTGTTTTTCGTATTGGTCGCTCATCTTGTTGTCAGACAATGTACTAGCCTATCCTTATTATGAGTTTACTTTATTGGTGTCTGATGGAAGTAAAAACAGTGTTATCATAATTGAGTTGAAGTTCTCGTTTGTATTTCACATGACTTATCTATGCTGATTCATTCTCTCTTTTGATCTGCTTGACTAATGCAAGTTAATAATCGTGTTACACATTTGGACTATTTATGTAAGCGAACTCAATAAAAGAAAGGGCTACATGTACTTCCATTTTTTTTTTGTTTATTATAGCATTCTACTTTTATTTCTTCCTATCAAAACAAAAATCTACCCGATTGCACCAATGTCATCCAAGTACAAAGCGATTTTCAGTGTTCATTGAGTATATATTTTTGAAGTACAACGTTCAACTTCAAATAAAAATTGAAAGTATAATGTTATAATTTGGTAGATTTTTCAAAGTACAGTTTTTGAACAAGAAAAAGCTATAATAGAAAGAAATAAAAGTAAGATGCTTATAATAACCAAATAAATGAAGGTATGTTGTAAAAGAAAATACGGCAAGGATCTTTGTTTTTTTTTTTTTTTTTTTTGTCTCTTATATGCATTGGTGTTTTACCGGTTGTCTTGCAGGAAAGAGCATCCTTCAAATGTATATGGTGCAATGTCATCCATAATGTCACTTATCTTTCAGGAGAAAGTTTCTCAAGCACTTCTAGAAGTGACTTTGCAAAGTCTTTTAAAGGACTCAAAGGTAAATGGCTAGTCTCTCTCTCTCTCACACACACACACAGTTACATGTATATATTATATTTATGGGGGAGGTGATTCCTTTATGTTTCTCTCATGTCCCAGTTCTAATATTATATTAATGTAGATTTTCAGTTACTATTTTGACAGTTTTACAATTTGCTTGCTTGTAAATTGGCCTCGCTTTTCTTCCCTCCTTTAAATTATTTTCTTGTAAGAGCAATGTCGGTCATAGTTATTTGTTTATTTGCATTAACATAGTAACATATACCATTATGTTGGTAAGACTGAGATTTGTGGTGGGTAGGATGATTATTTAGTTAGTAAGTAGTAACGAGTGTACATTTTCAGGATGCATCTTTTCAGCTTGGTGTTTCAGTTATTGAAGGTTGCAGTCAGGTGCTTCAACCGGTGGTTTGTCGTTTTCTCAACTGTTGTATCTTGGACAGAGATGGCGTAAACAGTGAGCTTAAAGAGTCATATCATGCCATTATATACGAAATCTTCAAGTGTGCTCCAGAAATGCTCATTGCTGTTGTACCCAATTTAACTCAGGAACTACTGGTGTGTGTGTGTGTGTGTGTCTTTTTGGCTTTTTCCAAAATCAAATTACCTTTTAGCATATTCATCCTTACACAGTTTCTATTTTTTGTAATTTACAGACTGATCAGGTTGATGTTCGGATAACAGCTGTCAAATTTGTCGGAAGACTATTTTCAATTCCTGGGCGTCATGTTGCTCAAGAGTACCATCGTCTGTTCATAGAGTTTCTAAATAGATTCTCTGACAAGTCTGCTGCAGTTAGGGTTAATGCTGTATTATGTGCTAAACCTTTTTACTTCACCAATCCATCAGGGGAGGAATCCATTGCAGTTCTGTGTAAGTAACTATTTATTTTTATCCATATGTTACTTGTTACCAGCTTTCAGTATTCATGTATTTCCATGTTTTCTTAGCTGCCCTTGAAGGCCGCCTTTTGGACTTTGATGATAAAGTGAGAATACAAGCAGTTGCAGTGGTGTGTGATCTTGCCAAGTCTAATCTCAGACCTTTACCACTTGAAATCATAGCTCAAGCTGCTAAAAGATTACGTGACAAGAAGGTTCATTATTTCACTTACTTCAACCCTTTCTTGCTCTTGGGACATTATGATTTACCTCCTCATGTTGGCTGTACTCTTTTACAATTGTCTGACAACTTTTTTTTCTCTCTATAAAGGTTACTGTTAGAAAGAAAGTGTTGCAGATGCTACTAGATGTCTATCACCATTATTGTAATAGATGTTCTGAAGGCATCATCAAATTGAGTCTTGAATTCGAACAAATACCTTGTGGTATTCTGATGCTATGCTATGACAAAGACACAGACTTTGGGTATGTTGATCGACGTTAAATTTTGGGCTAAATGCAAGAAATAGCAATGTACTTCCATTTTTTTTTGTGTATTATAGCTAGCATCCTACTTCCATTTCGTTTCTTTAAAAAGCATCACTCTTTCAATTTTTGTTTATTTCATATGAAAGCATTGTACTTGTTAGCATTTTACTTTCAGTTTTTTCAAATCAGGATATTATTCTTTCTAAATCTACCCAGTTATAGCAGTGAAAATTGTTTGACATTGCTATAATTTGATAGTGTTTTCAAAGGACAATGCTGCAATAGGATTAGGAAGAACTCAATGTAGAATGCTATTATAATAAACAAATCAGTGAAAGTACGTTGCAAAGTTTTCTTATGTAGAGAAGTAACTTTTTTGTGAAATGTGTCCCTCAGTCCTCAGAACATAGAGCATATTCTTGAGGAGAGTTTGTTTCCCATTTCACTTTCTGTTGAGGAGAGGACTAGGCACTGGCTTTTCTTGTTTTCACATTCGGCATCAGATCACCGGAATGGAATCTTCACCTCAGCTCATGAGAAGGCATTGACTGCCATCTTGTGTCAGAAAAAAAGGTAACTATAAACCAGCTGTTGCTCTTCACTTACGCAAAAAAACAAACTGTTTAACAATCTCAGTTTTGTTTCAGGTTGCAAATTGAGATGCAGAGTTACCTTGACCTCCGGACAAATGAAAAGGTAAAAAGTTTAAGACCATTTAATGGTTAACACACACTGTGTTCTCCAGTCCTTATTTGTCATATATATATATATATATATATATATATATATATATATATATATATATATAAATGACCTATGATGCAACAGTATTTCTCTGGGAGAAAGGAAGAAAGAATCAAAAAGTTGTTTGCCAAAATGTCGACATGCTTTCCTATACCAATCAAAGCAGAAGAGTCCTTCCATAAGTTACATCTGGTGAAAGATGCTGATCTTTTTGACTCCCTCAAAGAGATTTTGGTTGAACTCAAGTTTGGAAGCTCCCGAAGTATGAGAGTGAGTTTCTTTGTTCCCCTTCATCAATGTCTGTTTCTGCATTTAAACGAGAGTTTTTATAATTGACTAAGTAGCTTTCAAGTCAACCTGAAGGCAATATTTTTTTCAAATATGATATTTTTATATAAAATAGTGGCCGTTTTAACATGAATTAGTTGTTTTGGAGACTATAATGGACCTGAAAAGTGAAAATTTGCAACTTATTTGTGTTAGAGAGGAAAAAATGTATAGTTTATTTAAATTGACAACTCATAATTTTTGGAGCTATAGCATACCAAGTTATGGAGGCTAAAATACCGCAATGGAAATGCAAGACATTAAAGATTACAAACTAGAATTACATCTATTTGAGTATTTCTAATACCTTTGCTTTACGCACTTATGATAATATCTGTGCCTCATAACTACACTTATGCTTTTCACACAAAATTATCCTTCTTAAAACCTGGAATGTGCATCATACAGCATGTTATAGTTATAGCTTAGAAAGTTGACGAGTTACACGTAGTTTGAATAACAACACAATTATATACAAACAAACAATGCACAAGTTCCCCAAACACTTTGAGAGAACAGAAAGCCATCACATAATTAGCAAATCTATTAGTGGTTAGATACTTAACCACAAGACATCTTAATGAATCAATTATGTCTTATGGTGACCATTACCCAGCCCTCACTAACGAGAATAGAACCTTTTGGTCAAGATTCTATTCATAAACCAAAAGTTGAAGGTTTACTTGTCTCATTATTTAGAATGCAACCATTGTACATTTCTTTCTTTGCATTTAATAGAAATGCTAGAAGAATAATAGTAAAGGCAGAACTTTGTTCTAGTTGGGTGCTGATTGGTAAAAAGGTAGCATGCCATTTGGAATTAAGCTTTTAGGATGCTCTTACTATCGATATGCCATTAAGATGTAGTACAAAGTAATATGCTTGAACAAGTATGCCAATTATTAACAAAACAGCAAAACCAAACACAACAAAGTCTTATCAACTGTATTTATCTGTTTTCTTTTCAATTAATTATATTGTTATTGTTCATCAACATGGTAGTTTATATATATCTCCATTTTGTTTCTTCTTTTTGAAGGATAATTTTGTCAGCAAGATGAAGGACATGCAGTTGGATTTTGAGTTTCTACAATCACTCACAACAAAATGCGCATATAATATTTTTAGCTTTGATCACGTGAGTTGTATACTAGATCATCTTTCTGAAGACAAGTTTCAAGAGGCGAAATTAAAGAATGCGTGTGTGTCACTTCTTATGGTATGCGCCTCTGCTTCTTAACCAGACCAGGAGAAATATATATATATATGTATATATATATATCATTTCATTCCTAGAGGTTAACCAAACATAATCATTAAATGTAATCATTAATGTTCCATTATCGTGTGAGTCTCCATTTCATTCTTTCATCTTCCCGTTCCATCCAACCAAGTAAATCCATAGGGTTCAACCTATCCTCTTATCTAAATACTCACAGTTGTGTTAAATCTAGCAACACATTGGCTGTTTTAATTAGATTCTTTGTTGCCTTGACCTCAGAAGGTATGCCATATGCAAAAATTTCTGACTGCTTTCCCAATTCATTAAAAAGGAAATACTACCATCTGAATTTCTTATTTTTGGTTGAGGTCATGGATCTATGTCATCGGTAAGAGTTATGGCCATTTTAGTCCAAAAAGTGGTTAATGTTAAAACCTATATGTGCCGATTTATATTAAGGCTGGTTAAGATAGTGGTTGTAGCTAATTCATTTGCTTAAAACTTGAACTGTTTTGTGTTTTCTACTGAATGTATCTTTCTGTGTAGGTTATTGTTAATGCTTTCCCAATCCTTCTTAGAGGTTCAGAAGAGCAATTCTGCACTCTATTGTTAGAAGATAAATCCTTATTCTGTAATGAGCTGCTTGAAATGTTAGCTAAAGCTGGACCTCATATTTCTGTTGACCCCAGGTAATTGTAGTTGTTTCGGTGACTTAGGTTCAATGCTGGTTAGGATAATTTTTCAGGTTCAGCCAAGTCTACTATCACAGGAATTATATGTATATATATACATGATGGTGCTGTTTGTATGACTACTCAATGGGGATATAGCTTAATGCAGAAAGAAAAACTCAATATAGAAAGTCAAGGAAAGGAAGCTTTCTCCATGAAGTCCTAACTTTTTTACAAATGTGTTGTGTAGTGTTATCTACCCTTTCTTAGAGAGGATCTGCCTGGATGGAAGTCGTGCTCAGGCGAAGCTTGCTGTTTCTGCAATCAGTGGATTGATGGTTACTTCTGAGCACTCCAGTCTCTCAGATCTATGCAAGGTTTATCAGCTTTTTCTTTATCTAACTCATTTTATTTTCATCTCATAATCTGCAATAAATAGGATTAGTGGTTTAATAAGGGTATCAATGAGTTTTGGATCTGTTTATTTGCTGATAAACTGCAATATCTCATTTTAACATTGTTATACATAGGATACTTACTTCATTTTATTTGAAGGGTAATGACTTGATGCACCAAGAAAAACTGATAAGCACACTGCACACCTTTTGGAAGCAAGTCGTTCATGTTGCTGTAACATTGTTTTCACACGATAAACAAACATAAAATGGTGCAAACTAATTTTCATATAGTATAAGTTTAAGCACAAGAAAACTTGTTAAGTAACACCAATACCAATACCATACGTATATACACTCTGCGCATTATATGTTGTTTCTTCTCCAAATAATTAAACCCTCTTTAAAAAGGACACTCACACTCACCTTACCTACACTGTTGCTTTTCTTATTAGAAACTTGTGGATGCTCTTAAAAGTGGGCCACCTACTCCTACAGTTTTGCAGTCGTTGGGCTGCATGGCTCAGCATTCTGTTTCTGCATTTGAACCCCATGCTGAAGAGATCACTCGGTATATTGTTGAAAATATCTTACTAGTAAATGAGGTAATTTTTTTTTTTTTTAAATTTCATTCTACTACTACCCTTTCTGCCTTGTCATTTATATCTATAAATTCCTCGCCCTAATTTTTGTCTTAGGTCGGAATGTCAGACGATATAGCTCCATCCGAATGCAGCAGTACTTCATGCAATTTGAAGGTGATCACTAGTTATTAGTTAACTTCCTATCCTGCTTTTTTGGCATTGTCTGGCTTATCATTGGTTCCATGATGCCTTCCGTGGTATTCTTCAGCTGGAATTGGAATTCAAATTCACACCATTTGGGTGTTTAATGATGTTGGAATTCACAAAACCCTACTCTACTAATATTAGATGGAACTCTGCTTTCCTTCCATTAACTCGTCGGATTCATTTCTATAAATGACTGACATTCCCTTTTTAAACCATATTTATTGACATTGCAGTGTGTTAGTTTCTTCTTTATACTACTACTTATATGTATGTGTATATATACAATTTATTTTTCTACCAAAAAGTAATTAAAACAAGTTCCATGAACAAGAAAGAAGCTAGCAGAAGGGAAAGTTAAATATTTTGCAAGTATTTAAATAGCTTCGTGGATAAGAGCTGTCGTTTGCCATTTTTTTACTTTCTAAATCTTTTGATAGATTTACGAACGGAATAGAAATACACATTCCTGTCAACCTAAAGCGTGGCATGTTTCAGTTCCTTGAGATCCAAATTCTTGAAATTTTAATGCATTTGACTCCCTCCCTACAAAACATTTCTTGGACCAAGCGCAAGCGCCCCTTTAAAGTAGTTGAAGTTCAAAATTATTGGGGGGGTAGCATGATAAGCATTTGTGAACTTTATTTAATCAGCATGCTCTTGTAGATTAGGGTCAGTCACAGCTATAACTATTAACTATTACATCAAATACTTCCTTGGCGAAGAGAAGATCACCTATGCTATAAAAGTTCCCATGTTAAGGCCATCATTGTCAGCTTTTCTTCTTCTCCACAAGGGTATAATAGATGGTATCCTTGTATATTTTATTTTTTTCAACAACCAAAATTTATGTGTATCCCCTTTAGGCTTTAGTACAATTGAAATAATTGAAAAGCAATTGGAAAATAAATGTAAACAAGTACTCAAGATGAAAGAACAAATGAAAAGAGGTAAAAAAGGAACACAGTGGTAGACAATGAGCATATTATCAATTAATTCATCATCTTCGTTTTAAGGGTTTCTGACCGACCATGTTATGATTTTTTGGCATAATCCATTACTTAAAGTTAAGGCAACGGTGTCATTTTCAGATTTTTGGGCTTAAAGCACTTGTCAGAAGCTTTTTGCCACATCAGCTTACTGGTGTTGCTCGTCCAATTGATGAACTACTTACTCTTATATCACGCATGCTTCAAAGGGCCAAGGTTTCTGGAGGCACTCTCTCCGGGTATGGATTCTTAATCTTATGGAGATTGAACTACTTTTTGTCTAAATTTGATGCATATGGCTTATGTCCATTAATGATTGCACTTTGTAAAACCACTAACTTTAGCCATTTTCTGTATATTTTTAGGGCTAAATGCAACAAGTAGCAACATATTTCTATTTTATAGCATCCTACATTCATTTCTTTCTATTACAACATCCTACTTTTTTTTTTTTTTTTTTTTTTTTTTTCTACTTTGACAAATCTACCCAGTTATGGTGCTGTAGTTCCATTACAATATCGTACTTTCAGTTTTTTTGTTTATAAGGCAGTGGATTTTGGAAACTATACCCAGTTATAACATTGTACTTCCAGTTTTTCTTAATAGGAAACTTTATTTTGAAAATCTGTCTTTGTATTTATATGAAATTGCTATAATTGGGTAGATTTTCAAAGTACAATGCTTTGATAGGAAGAAATGGAAGTAGGATGCTATGATAGGAACAAATCAACGATAATACATTGCATTTAAGAGTTAGATATATGATGATCATTCGTTGCGTCAAGATTATATTATTGGAAAGATGTTGTTTTTTCTTAAGTCTTCCATGCTTTTATGTGTATAACAGTGAAGATGACAAGGACCATCTCAGATTAGCTGCAGCTACATCTGTTCTTCGGCTTTCTCAAATGTGGGATTCACATATTTCACCACATATTTATCGCCAAACTCTCTTGACAGCCAAGGTTTGAATCTTTCTCGTTTTAAACACATGCTAAAGATTTTATAAAGAATTATTGTTCATTCGCCAAACTTACAATGATATCTTGTCTGCTTTGATGGGAATAGTCCTCGACTTAGGGATAAACACAAGAAGTAGCATCCAACCTCCATTTTATTCCTATTACAACTCTTTTTCTATGAAAAATCCACCTAGTTATAATTTATAGCAATAAAAGTTGTTTGTATTGCTTAGGCTTTTCAGAGTACAATGCTGAAATAGGAAGAAATGAAAGTAGGATGCTACAATAATCAAGTTAAAGTTTAAGTGCGCTGCTATTTTTTGACTTGTAGGTTGTGAAAATATTTAAGGTATGTTCACACAATGCATTTCTGCACTGCAGGACCATTCTTGTATGGTACGGAGATTATTCCTCAAAAAAACGTTGAAGCTTTTGAAGAATAACGTCCTTCATTGTAAATATTTAGGTGCTTTTGCATTGGCTGCTGCTGCTTCTGATTCGTCACAAAAAGATGAAGTATGCCAAAAGTTTTGGTTTAATAGTTTTGTTAATTTTTTTTATTTTTTTTCTTCTAATAATAACCTTCTCTTGTTAGTCACTAAATTATATGGCAGAAATTATAAGGAAACACCACAGAGAACCTAAAGTGACAGCAAAGCGAGATCGAGATGTGACTGATGATCCTGTGTGCTCATTGATGTTTTTAATCCACATTCTTGCTCATGATACTGATTTTCCCTCCCAGGAAGACAAATATGATTCCTTTTTCAGGTAAGTTAAAGTCTACCCGTTTGCATTGGACAATGGGACATGAATTGCAGTCTTTTGTCCCACCCAAAAAGATGGAACATAGGCTCCTTATCCTTAAGGCCTAAGTAAATTCATTGAAAAGAAAAAAAAAGATGTGAAAAATATCCCTACAAAGCTGATCCACTAGAGTCTTGCAGGAATATCATCTAACCAAACATTGTTGTTTTGCAGCCCAATTGTTTTTACTTTGGAGGCATTACTCAACCCTAGTTTTGTAGATGGTGATATGAATCGAATCCGTAAAGTTGTTTCTGATTTGCATAATACTTTCAATGCTATCAAGAGGGCTGAAGATGCACTTGATGTTCACAAAACCTTTGTAAGTTTTCTGGCATTACCTGCTAACCTATTACACATAAATATATATATTAATAACCTATTACACATAAATATATATATATATATATATATATATATATATATATATATATATTATCCATAACAGCAACATACTTGCAATCATCATGTAAGTTGGTTGTTATTGTATTTGTGGGGAAGTTGGTTGGTATTTGGTGCAATTTGTCCTTTGTTATAACTTACAATCAGCAGACAGATTAATGGATGTATTATCTCGTCGCATGCAGAGGCTGCATGCTGTAGCTATCTTTGGAGCCAAGTATTTGGTCGAGACAAAGAGTAGTGGAATGTCTCACTCACACTCACACTCACACATTCCAACTCCAACAAGCATCTTACTGCCTTCATTGCTCTATAAGAAAAGTGATTCCAAGCCCAACAACCCCAACTTCAACCCAAAACAGGCAAGTACAAGTAGTCATTTTCCTCCTGCATCTCAAATCTCTTGTTTCTTTAAATATTAGTATATGCTAGTTACTTCATAGTTGTGAGGCAAATAACATAATACAAATAATAATTATTTTAACTGTAATTATATTTATATGTTAGTCTGCTAGAAATCATGGGAAAAGGGTAGAGGATCTGGAACCGGATGCGGATGATGGTGAATTGCGCAAGCGTCAAAAGCAGATCAACTTCACTTCTCCAGAATCAGTTACATATGATGGTGAGAGTTTTATTTCATCTGTTCATCCCACTCAATCTTATCTTATCTTATGTCTGTCTGTCTGTCTGTCTGTCTTTGCAAAAGACATGAATGCCCTCCTCATCATCAAAAATAGCCAGCCCGCCCGCCCTGCCCCTTGCAAGCTTAAGCTTGTCCAGTCCAGTGTGTTTCTACTTTGTAACAAATGCATTCAGTCTAATACTAATACTGAAATGTGACATAATAATTGTCTAATACTGCTAATTCCATTTTTCTTTAAATTCTCTAGTGGAAAAAACTTCATTATTTCAGATGGAGGATTCTTCATGACATGAAACTAAGGCTAGGGTTTTTTAGATTATCACCTCATAAAGGTATGTAAGTTCTTGATTCATCCATTTTAAAGCATTAGTAAATCAAAATTCATAACAATAATTCATTCAGGTGTCAAATCACAAATGGAAAAGTTAATGTATCGATTTTATTTAGCCACTTCATTTATTTTCCAGTAAGGACTAAACAACCATTATATATTATATATAATTGTTTTAAAAAAAAAATATTTTTCCCAGTTACCAACCAAATCAGGGCAAATACAGAAACCAACAATCTACTTTCACATGCTTCTTTCAATTACACCAAACCCATTTTTCTGACCTCATCTTATTTTTGGTACAATTCCAGTTTAACAGATAGATACCAAGTTCATTGGATTTGTTGCCCTACCCTACCCTTTTGGACAACCACCCGCTAATGTATTTTGTAGGTAGGTTGGTTTGTATATACCAACTTTATGCATTCTGAATGATAATGTATTTTGTTTTGTTTCAACATGATTACTCTTGTATCCAGTTCTAGAAGCATATAATTATGTAATCTCATTGTCATTTTACATATTTGACCTATTTGATGATTTGGTACGATGGAATTCGTCAATTCCATTGAAATTAAAATATAAAAAACTGTTTTATTCCTTTGAAGTTTCAATTCCATTCCATTGAAACAAAAAAACTGTTAATTTTCATTCCTAAATGATTTTTTTTGGTAATAAAATGTATTTTTTTTAATATTCAGATTATTTCTCAAGTCACATTTAATTATTGCGTAGTTATTTATTTTCTAAAATAACTAAAAGTACAATATCTTTTTCATATTTTAATAAGTTTCTATTATATAGAGTACAGTTAAAACTATGCATTTGTTTTTTAAAAAAAATACTAGTATGAAAATACAATCATATAGAGGACATTTTACATAATAGGATTTTAGGTTGGCTCATGATACTCGATCATACACAGGGCATTCTAGTTTTCAATCCTTTTAAAGATCTAGCTTTTATAATGCGATTTGAAAAAAACATCATTTAATTTTAATTTACTTAGTTTCTCCTTTATATTCATAGTGAGAAGAATTGCAATCTTCATTAGAATTTATAAGAAAAAAAATGTTAGTTCTCTGTTTTAAATAAAAACATAAAAATTATAAATATCAAACATCAAGTTTTTCGAATTTGAACAACAATATTGTAAATTTAACTTGCATTATTCTTCATTTTAGTTCCCTCAACATTTGTATCAAGTAATCGTTTTTATTTTTCCAACTCTTGTTTTTTATTCTCGATATCACTCTCTGAGGTTTCCGATAACTCATTGTTTGATTGTTCTTCTGATGCAAATGTACCTATATTATATATGAAAAGTTAGACATTTTTTTTTGTTTGCATATAGTTAATCTTTTGTTTTGAGATATGTTGTGGATTGAGAAATGCAATGTAACAATAATGAAACAGTATTGAAAGAGAATGCATAATGAAATTGGTAAAGATGATTCAAATTGATATTGATAACAGAACTCCGTAGTCCGTACTCCTCTATCTTAGCCATTTTTTATGTATTTCCTGATTTGCCTTCTTCCCCTTTCCAGAATAAACCAATAAGGGTCTAGGTGGTCCATCATTTGTGGTAATAAGGCCCGTGTTTGTATCATTACTCCCGCCTTCATTTACATTCTTGACCTCAAGACTTGTTCCAGGAAATCTTAGTTTTTGAACTAAATCCCAACAATTGGTATTAGAGTCATCTTGCAAGTTTGGTTAGATTTTTTGATTGTTGGAAATCTTAGTTTTTGGAGAATATGGATAACTTGTTTTTGTATAAAAATAAGTTCATACATATTTTCTATGACAACTTTATATTTGTTATTTTATGTGACAAAAGTTTCATGCATCTTTTGTCATTTAAAGTTGTCTTAGGAAAACAAAGATTGTTTTATATGTATGTTGATGTATATGATGTGCATAAACTAGCCAATGACCATTGTGTTTGTTGTTTTGTTGTGTTGGTTGTTTTATAAAAATGGTTGTAATAATTTATTTATTCATATGGTATGTAATAAATTAAATAGATTAGTTTTCTTGGTTTATTTTTGTAAGTAATAGATTAATTTTTAAAATTAATTTATTTGTACAAAAAATGTAACAATAGATGAAGTTGGAACCATTTTTTGAAGACAAAAGAACAATTTTCGAGTCTAAAAGGTGTGCAAGATTTTCAGTGATATTTTCTGAAAAGTGTCACAAATGCTGTTTACAAAGGGCTGTTGGACTTTTAGCGATGGTTGCTGAATTTTAGCATTCAAGAAGTTTTTCCAATCATTTGCAAGCAATTGGTGTTTACTCAAGTGGAAGTTTCTTCAACAACATTACAAGAAGATTATTGGTCCCCTTAAATGTTCCTTTAGGAATGGACTTGACATCTTTTGTGTTGGCTCACAAAAAATGTCATTAGTTGGCTATGTTTATGCACATATCTTTTTATGCATGTTTGTGTTGTTTATTTTATGCGATTATTATGTGTGGTTGATAAATTAGTTCTTCACATGCTAAAATAATTTTGAACAAAATAAACATCACATGGAGTTTGAGTTTTCAAAATTGGACATAAGATGTAACAAGTTATTATTTTAAAAATAAAACCCGGTTTTATAAAATCGTTAATAACGATAAATTTTGAAATACTCCATTATAAGTTTGAAAATAGTGATTTTTGTAACTTATACAAACTCCAAATATATAAGTAATAAAATGAAGTTTTATTAAAGATATAAAATGTTCAAATGCACTCAAAATTAATACCGGTTATTAAAATTGAATTGCGTCAAATTATATAAAAACTAGCTTTTTATATAGAACCTTTAAAAGCGATTTTTCTTTTGAAAAATTGATACCATGGTTTATTATATGCATGTAATAACCATGATATCATATGTTTTTTAAACTAGAGTTATAAAACATATAAAGACCCTTTTACAAACCTCAAATCTATACAATCCTTTTGAAAAACACTCGCACATCTCTTGTATGCACTAGTGGGATAAATGATACCTAACCCCTTAGTGTTGTCTTTTGATGGCCGGGATGTCTTACACAAGTTTTTTTCAAATTGGATGATTTGATCGGAAATCTTTTGTGATAAAGGATACCTAAGCAAGAGAGATCTGAGGCATAGATGAGATCAAAGATGTCTAATTAAAATTGTTATTAACGATCCCATAAACCTAGGAATTATATAGTGAAATATAATTGATAATCGATATCTACTGGGTTGAATTCAAATGGATGAGATAAATGATACCTAACCATTTATTTGTTTTGCAACTTGGATCCTAGACTTTGATAATTAATGTTTTTGGAAACTAAAAGGGTATTAATTATTGAAGATTAAATATTGAAAATACTAAATGAATTTTGTTAAAATTTTGTAGTTAAATAATCAATTCTCATTATCATGAATTATCATTTTCTTTAATGACTTAATGAAACAATAACATTCAATAGATACAACTTTAATAAATGGGTTCATGTCTTAAGAGACAATCTCGTGAGAGATATGAAATTGTATACACTTAAAGGTCCTAGTCCTAAACTATTCGCTTTGAGCAATACACCTTAACATGATACCTAGTAAAGGCATCACTGTGATGCTAAAGATGCTTCTAACATTAATTTAGGAATAGTTATTCATGACTTCTAGGAAGTCTTGAATAATTTAAACATATATCTGATGATATAACAAGTCAAACAATATTCCAATAAATACAGTGATATTTTATTTAAATCTAGTTTAAACAATAGAGTAATGCAAGGCTAAAAGAATCACCTTGTGTGATCTAGAAGGCCCATGTTTTTATGGACTGAACACCTTTAAGCCCAAGAAATCTAATAAGGCCCACATAAACGGATCTTGTTTCTTTTGTGAAGAAACTGAACACTGGAAGAGAATTTACTCCTCTTATTTGGAAAGAAAGTCTGGAAGAGACTAGTACTTCATGTATCTACTATGTAGAACTCATACTTTTCATATAACACTTAAGTACTTGGTACTTAATGTTTATCTAATATTTGTAAATGGCTTGAAAATATTTATTGAAGAGTAACCAGCTGAGCACAACAAAGTTGGAACTACACTCTCGGAGTTTAGTTTATTATTTATGCTTAGAACATAAATTACTTGTAATGTAAATCAATATTTGTTTTGGAACAATGTATGTTTTAATTTAGCATGTCTAAATTTATGTCTCCGTTATTTTATTCAAATGTTTGATCATTTACTTAATCGTTTGTCATAACGATAATATTCATATTCAGAAATGATTAACTTCTATTTATGAGACTAGATCTCTTAACAGAATTATAAAGTAAATATCAACATTTTTATAAATAAAATCAAGTTCTATATACAAGCACTTTTCACTTAAACTTGTTTTAAATCAAACTCATCTTTGACATTGTTATCTTTATTATATAAATGGCATTCACATATTCCAACTTCAAGAAAAGGATATTTGAAGGCAAATAATGTAGTTTATTTGACATATGTGGACCTTATTTATATGAAAAAGGATTCTTAATGATATTTTCACTAAAGTGTAGAGAAAATAATTAAGGAACTATACACTTTGATATATGACTTCCTTTCTAATGAATGTCTGAGATTAAACACAAGATACCAAATCAACTTTATTAACAACTATAGTAGTTTTAATTATATTTTACGTGGTAAAGCATAATTGTGAAATCTTTGTTGAAGGTTTCAAAAGTTGAGATACAAACCGGGAAGAACCATCTAAGGCCTTAATGATAATAAAAGATGAATTAAATCTTACTTGGTATGATTTACTTTCTAATCGGTAGAAATATGCTCCTTTAATCTTTTTGGGATAATACTTCAATCAATATTAATTGTATCTTGAATACAAATACCAACTAATAAGTAGATTAAACACTTTATAAGACTTAGTATGGAAAGGCTCCATCCTCATCTTACTTAATGTTTTGTGGATTTGAAGCCGATGTTGGACTAAAGCTTCTAAAACCAAAATATACTAAATACATATTTGTATATATAATACTCTAAATGTGGCCTAGATTATTATATGCAAACCCGCCAAGAATAAGTTCTCTTATTCTTGTGAAAGCTAAGTTAGTAGAAAGCAAGCTTCTAATGACAAAGCAAGTGGGAGCTACATGGAACTTGAAGCAGATCAAGAGCCATAACCTTATGTAGTAATAGTTAGCACTAGTTTTAACCAGGATTGTTAAACTTAAATAGTAGCTATTCACAAACATAAATTGTTCGCATTAATGGTAGCTTGGAGCTTTTTGGGAATTGGGCGTTGATAGAATGGCACAAAGTCGTATGTTGATGGGGGCAGTGAAATGTTGCTAGACGTTCACCACTGTCTATATCAGTTTAATATGAATCTTGCGCAAGTGGGAGATTGAAAGATCTAGTATGCTCAAGAATCATATTAAAGTGATATTGCTAATTAACATATGATACTAATGGGTCACACTAACAACAACTTGATACAATTGATTATTTATCAGAAATTGGTTTTAATAAA